AGCAAACATGTCCATCAGATGTTATTCAGAGAGGATTGGAAAATACTTCTTAGCAGATTTGGTGAGCATACTGTCAGTTTGAGTTTATTATGACAGTTTGTGACCGTGCCAGGTATGTTGTCAACCACAGGAAAGTATACTTAACTTTTCAACACCAGCACTGAATCAAGGATTACACGTTGCATTTAGTCTCCCCAAAACAACACCCGAGTGCTCCAATTATTTTAATCAAATGAATTTTCTTTTAAGGCAGTAAGAGTGAAACAGGACAGGGTTGAGAAGGTTTTCCCAATTGTAATTGAACTGATCCGACTTTAAGCGAATTGTTTCTTGTTGACTATTATGTTCATTTAATGTATTATCTTCAAGTTAAACGGGACCAATTTTAGGACAGAAATTCTGAAGCTAGTTCAGGACAATCTTTTGCATCTTAAACAATGTCATATTGGCCTTCATCAGCAATAATTCCTGAGCAAAAGTCTCCTTGAGAAAAGTTCAATTTACACAGAGATTGTTCTAATTTATTAGATTTACATTTACGAGTACAGTAAAAGTGCAATATAGGCCTAACAGCTTAAATCTAACAACAGTTATTCTCAGATAAATGAAACCAAGTGATATACTGCAGTACTCAACACTGCCTGGCACAGAAGGTAAACACACTGCCAAATACGACCATTCTTCCTCACAGCTGACAAATGGCCTGTCTTGTAGATTTAATTATTTAATAGGTTACTTGTAAGAATGATGTAATAGGAAATTGAGGCCGGAGTGGCTCGGGCTTAACAAGGCCCATATAAGTCAACATACTTATGAGGCCATTGCCAGCTTTAAACCTTAAGTACATCAAAAGATAAATCAAGGTCTATATGCAGAATAATGTGCAATGGTGGAGGTAAACACAGAGATAAGGTCCTCAATGTCCTGGTTTATGGATTACCAGAGCAGTAAGACAGCAATATAACTGTTTTAAAGCCCCTTACTCTTTAGTTTTTATCTCATTCAAACACACATGCAGGCACAATTGGCTGGATTCTTATCTACCTGATGCCTGACTTTCACTCCTTTACTTGTTAACATCTTAATCTTTGTTGGACATGTTTTTCAGACACAAATATTTATTTCTTGCGTAGTAAACTTTACCAAACGTGAATGCAAGAGAGTATAATTTTGCACTGAAAAGAGGCAACTGAGGGCAGCTGCTGCATTGCATGGTGGTGGGAGTAAATCAAGTGCTTCTGTCCCTCATTTCAGAGAGGGCTTTGATGTCGCTGGAATAAGCTGCAGCTCATTGAAGGAACATCAAAGATACTCTCCCCCCAGCCCACTAACATTGAATGCTCCTCTGTAGGAAACGTGATTGGAAATGCCATTGGGTCCGGTATCCTTCCCATGATTAACGCCTCATTAATTGGCCATTAATGTTATCAATTACCCACAAAATGTGCTCAGTAACCAATCAGGGATCAACCAAATTGCTGTTTGGAATTTGTGATGTAAAGAAGGAATATTTAATGCTGGCTTTTGAGCTCCCTCATTTGAAGTATTGAGCTTTATGATCACTGATTAGGGTCCCTTTGCTCTGTTTCATGTCTTTGATTTTAATTCTCTGAGCTCTTGTTTGTTATCATGCCCAAATGATGTAGAAGTTGTATTTTTGCACTCACTTCTCTCAGCGCTTTCATGTAAAGCAGATTTTTTAAAACCTCACTCAATCTTTTATTTTGTAATAAATACACCGAAAATTAGAGGATTAGATTAGGGTAAGGGGGGGGGGGGGGGTCATTTGAGTCATTTGTGAATGATTTTGGGTTAATTGATTTATGTGTATCACAACTTCATAGACAGAACATTTACTATCATGTTTTACAATTCAAAATCCATATTAAAGCTTTTAGGTACCAAAGGGCTTCATTTTTGATCGAGTCTCTTTCAGTGTTTACCTATTATAGTCACTCAAGTAGGAAGTCAATACCTCAAAGGGCTGTTTAAGGAAATCAGTTATCAGTTTTTCATTCGTTTTTGACTTCAACGAATCGTCCAATAAGTGGCTCTTTGCCCCTTAAGTATTTACTTTATCTTTTTCGATAGTCTCAGTGTTTCAGATAAACTGACATTCTTTTTTAGATAATTCTCTGAGTTTAATTTTATTAGAACAAAAGTACACTATTTATTTTTTGGTAATTCCTGACCAAATGGTGGATATAGTTGTTTTTCAGTTTTTTGTATGCAGAAAGGCTCCGGCATGTAATTTAACTTGCTAAAAAAGAATTTGAATCCTTTTATCAGTCGAGTAACTTTTACCTCTGTCCACACTAGCCTATACGAGGAAGGCATGGTGCAGCCAATCACAAACGCTCACTGCTCAGCTCCTCTAATCGTGGATTAGCTACAACCGACTGCAGTCTGCAGCTCTGGGAGGGAGAGGTAGTCACTGCCATTCACTACTCAGCCTCTTTTTTATTATTAGCCCACTGGACCTGGCAGCAGTGTTTTTTTCTCAGCAGCAGCAGCAGCTACTTTTGCATTGCGCACCCAAGTAGACCAGCTGCACATTACTGTGATCTCAGGTAAAGGTGTGGGGGATTCAGCACGGAGAAGCGGCTGATTTGGGCTCGATGGAAGCTGCTTCTTTACACTAGGTCAGGTAGGACTAAATTAATGGCCCTTACATTTAAATCCACACCGTCGTAAACAAAGCGCACTGGTCCGTTTTCGCCATGTTTAGGACGGTCCATTACCCGACGGTGGATCCTTGCGCCCACCATCATGCACGGCACTTGGTTTACCACGGGGTGCCGAGAAAACGCCCGTAGCGGTGCAGGAAACCTAAGAAAAAGCGTTTTAGCCTGGTCAAAATAATGTCTCTCAGCAACAAGAAAGGGCACGGCCAGCATCCGCACCACAACAACAACATGCCCTTACGATCCACTGTCACATCGGGAAAGAGATAAAGCACATTTGCAGCAATTGCAGCCGCGGTAACGACACACAGGACGGTGAGTAGCTCTGGAGCATTGTGTGGTTTCGCCCATAGTAGCCCTGCGGTACTACCATCCAGCATGTAGCCTATTTTCCCTCAGTATCTGGCGATGGCCATGCCTCTGGTCTCCATCGTTCATATGTGTTGCGCCTCTTGTTATAATATTCTCTAGTTACTTGTTAAGTGCATATATTTCTACTGTGAGTCACTGTTGCTGTTGTTGAAGCTGCCTTTAACTGGATCAGAACTTATGTATGCTCTGAGTTCAATTTGTTGGTTTGCATGATAACATTTGCTGTATTTTGTGGTCTCCTTAAGTCACAAGATAAATGATATCAATGTAGCTTTTCTAGCCTATAGATGCCATTAAAATGTCATGAAACTGTGCAAGCTGTTTACACAAGGCCATTTCCAGTTCAGTGTCATTACATCATCAATGATCCATCTTGGTATGCAAACAAGTGTTTTTAATTAAAAGCAGCCACATCAGTGTGTTGTGTTAGTGGAGAATCTAGACTATGTGCAACATGGTGAATGTGGGCTGGTGTGTGCCTGTTGTCACTGTTGTCATGAAATGATCACCTGATGTTAGGATGGTAAAGATATCTGTTATTGAAGTGAATAAAAGTGTGTCATCTTTGTGTCTGTCACACAGTACATAAAGATGGTTGGTACTTTGCTGTTGGAGGTTACTCTGCTTCTATTTTTCTTCCTGTCTTTATCTAGCTTTTAGACGTCTAATGAAGTCATTTGAATCTCTACTGGATTTAATTAGCATCGACTGTAGATCTATTTATAGAGTGTGGTGGCAGGATGGCTAAGATGGTTGCTTCTGAGGCTCCGGAGCATTTCATTGATGTTTCGTGGGACTGCATTACTGTCACATTATTTATCCTGCTGTCCCATTTAGGAGGTGACTAGGCTTGCAAAATGATATGTCCATGTTGGCAAACATTGTGATGTGATGTAATTATTCAAAAAGAGTCACCAGCACATTCCCTGACAGCATGTCACGGGTGATGATCTGACGCAATGTAGTGCCACTGACAACTGATACAACATGCTGTGCTGGAGGTCATCATGCATCCAGAACCCAGTCTGTTGGAAACTAGGCCATTTCTGTTTCTGAATAGTTTGTGTGTCCATTCATGCTCCTTAGACTCGAACCTGTCAAATGTATGTGAATGGTCTGGTCAGCTTTCATTGTTTTACAACCTATTGTTGCTCTCCAATGCCAGAAATGTTGACGTCTGGCAATGCAGGACTATGATATCATTGCAAATTAGGCTGTATATCAGAAAATAAAAGCAGACATGATGGATTACCAAAGGAAGTATCACATCTCTTGAATATTCATTGTATACAGTGAGGAATTGAAGGGCTGCCTAGAAAGCAAAGTCATTAAATAATATTTAGAAATCTGAAACATTTGTATGATCCTGTGAGTGCTGTTTATAAAGAAGATGTGTGTGTTATATCAGATTTGAGTTTGAAAACCTCTTTCCTCCCTTGTGTTTGGTTAGTGTTTTTTTTTGTAGTCCTCGATTGCACCATTTTGCAAATTTAACATGCATTCATTTTCCTCATTTAGTAGTACGTGTTAAAATAAAATACTTAACATTCCTGGCCTAGGATATGCAACAGTATTTCGAAGTCTAACGGGCTGGGCCTTGTGAATATTTGATGAGGAGTTGAAAGATTTCCACTTAATGAGGTGCTTATCAGACTGTTAGTGTGTCTTGGCAAGCTAATGCCAGCCACTCAATGTGAACTGTTTTGACTGGGAGCGTATCCTGCCTAATACTATCTGGTGTGCAGGTTTGTTTATACTCTCTCAACCTCATCCAGATAGAAGAAAAATTCAGCAGGCTACTTGGCACAGATTTGTAATGCTTGGTTCTTTGTGAGCAAAATTGTCTGCTGCATTCACTTCTCCTGCATGGCTACAGGAATATCACCTCCTCTGCATTCTCACCTAAACTATACCCTGTTTTTATTTTTTTGAATTCCCTTACAGCCGAGGAAGTAGAGAGGCTGGCTGCCATGCGTTCTGAGTCCGGCACCCCACACTCCACCCATCCGTCGTCGGAGCAAATTTGCTACTCTGGACGCCTCCTCAAGCCCTGGAAATGGAGGAAGAAGAAGAGTGACAAGTTCAAGCAGACATCTGCTGGTACGTGACTTTTTTTCCTCAATACTATGTTAATATAAGCACAAAAACAGTTGCCAGGTCCACCATAAACAACCATATTGTTTTCTACCCTGTCTGGTAATGGGAAGATTATTCAGTGTATATTCTTTAGCAAAAAGTATTAGGTTTCAGTCCAGTGTTATTTAAAAGCGGCAAATTGATTCAGCAAAAGTGCAGCGTTGGGGTTTCGTGTTGTTAGGTCTCTTTGGAGTTCCTTTCATCTTACAGGCCCAGTATTGTCAGGGGTGAAGGACATGCTCTGTTCAGATGTGGCTGTAGTTATTTTCCTTGGCTGCAACATCATGAATATTAACCTCAGCCAGGTAGACACACTGAGGCCCTTAGTCAGACTGCAGGGTGGAAGCAAACTCTTGCTTGTCTAGAATATGAGCAACTGCACAGACTTGTATCCAGGCCTACCTGGAAAAAAATGCTTTGATTAAGTAATATTAAATTGGCATCTTTCAGGTGTTAATTTCCTGGATGAATCAGTCTCACAAGCACTAAAAATGTATTTGACTTTTTGGTTGGTATTACCTTTCAGCAAGGATTTGACTGTTCCTGTTCCCAAAATGTTTGGCTGTAGTCTGTTTCTGCCCTAACATGATTCACCTGGCTATATTTTCTCTTGAAAATGTGGTGTTTTTAGCAAAACCCCAAAAATACATTACAAAATATGTATTTGCTTTAGAGGCTTGAATTTCCTATTTTGCTGTATTTTAGTAGTGTCTACTCATGAAACAATCATGTAGATATTTTCTGTTCATTGGTCTACTGAGCCACTGTCTATTATAACAGCATCTCCCCTGTTGCGGTGGAGGACAACAATGAAGATCTGAGCAAACAAAAAGGCCTTTTTTCTCCTACAATGGTGTTAATGCACAGTGGAGTTGAGTGATAAAGCTCTCTTCATAACTTTTGTCTTCCACTTGTTTTGTATGCATACAACGGCTGTCTCCACATCATTATTTTGCTACCATAGTTGGATTCAAGCGTTTTTGATTTCAGCATGATGGTGGATTATAACCCACCAGTATATCTCACTGGAGCGACTAAGTGGAATTTCATTTTTTTTTTTTAAAGCTTAGGCAAAGTGCATTGTTGAAAGAAGCCCCAATGCTCTGGCAGGTTCTTTAGTCGCTGTGACGCCAAAACATCTGCGCACACACTGTCACTTCAATTTCAGCAAGAAGTATTGACCTGACTCTCAAAGCCCCAAACAAGGGGAATGTGATCTGCAACCCCTGACGCGGCAGTGGAAGTATAGAAGTCAACAGAAGAGTGAGCCCAGTGCAGTACATTTAAATGACAGGAGGTGGTGCAGGGATTTTAAAACTGCAGCTGTCAACACATGGTGCATACATGTGGATTTCAAGCTGCAGGAATAAATGCTGTCAAATAAACAATGTCTCAAATATCTACAACTGTGTAACCTGAAAGGGGTCATAGTAGTGATGGACCTGCTTTAATGACAGACGTTTCTATTTCCAAGGAAAATGTATTAAATCAAGGCTATTGAGCCCATTTTACAAAACATATTTAAAACGTCTGTTTGAAGTTTATTATATTATATTTACAGTATTTTCAATATCTAGAATAATATGTGCTGATGCACATGATCCATGTTCACCTTCTCAATGTTAATGCCACGCTGTTTTTTCTGCCAAAGTTTATATATATTCCATCCAGGGAACGGCACTGATTCCACTGGTGCATGAATAGCTCACTACAACAGAGTAAAGCGTGGAGGGGATTCAAGAGCAGTTAGGTTATCTAAATGCATCTTAAATCAGATTAAGGTCAAACTGGATCAAATACTTTGGTTGACCATTAGCCCCTTTTTTATTTTATTTGTGTTTTTAAAATGGAGGAAGCACACTCTGCCTCTTTGCATCTACCATCATTTAATTCGTCAACAATAAAATGATGATCCTATTCATTTAGTTGACATAAGAAAAATGAGGACTCATTATTATCACCTATACTACTGTACCAATACTTTCAGCCTTGTTCTACATGGGGAAAATGTGCTTTATGCAAGTGAGCACTCTACATGTATCTCATTAAAGACTAAGTGCACTGGATAGTCAATATCAATGTCACGTCTGTCGCCCTATACTGTTGATTACGTTTCCTGTGTCAGTGGGTAGCAGAGCAGCCACTGGGCATGCAGATGTTGTCGCTGATAATTGGACACTGAGCACAGTAGAGGATTATGAATGTGTTGTGATATTAAGCAGATGAAGGCTAGCTCTGGGAGCCTGTACTCTTCACCTCAGGAAGGAAGGAAGGAGGGCCTGACAGTGGGAAGTCTTATCATGCTGTCTTATCATGCTCACTACATTCTCACATCTAGTTTGTATCACAGAGATTTCACTGGGCAGAGATTCATCAAAAGAACATGCATGGGGTAGTGGGATGTTATCTTCATTTTGCATTCCTGATCCAATTAGTAAGTATTTCCTCATGAACAGGAGTGGTCTCATATCACAATGTTTGCTGATGTGTTGGCATATTTAAAAAAGGAAATCTTACTACTACTATATCTACTGCATGAAGAGGGAAATGCCACAATGCTGTATACTTTTTATAAATAATGGTTGCATTAAGCCAGAATCAAGTTCCTGACCTGACCTTAAATAAGCTTCTCATTGATAAAATACTTCATGAAAGTTTTAATACAGTTTTTGTCAGGCTGAGGCTGAGCGAATTGCTTCAGTAAAAGCCTTCACTTTGAGCTACTGCGCCTCAGGGTTGGTAGGATGTGTTCTAACTATCTGGGTCACTTTGCCGTGGAATATTTTCTTCTCTTAAAACTAAGTGAAGTGTTCTCAGATCAATATGGCTGTACTCGGATATGCCAGTTTCATTTAATATGCTGTCAGCTGAGGCTCCCGGATGAGCGTCTAATCTTCTCATCTTGGTACAGATTGAGTGGCTGTTGGACAGCACTTGGGCCGTGGTGGACTGTCCAACATGGAACTTGGTTGATGTTCAAGGTGGTTTTGAGGACAGTTTCTACTTTTTTTTGTACTTGCAGTTTGCTGCCCACTTCAATTAGTCTGTATAAAAAATCAAATTACAAGCTCACAGTGGATTCGAATCCCCTGACAATCCTATTCATGATCAGATTCACACTAATATTCTGACTATATGTTGCAAGTGGCAGTTTTTTTCCACACTGAATTTCTTTTTTTTGTTATTGCTCTCACAGGACCTTCCTGATGAAATGAAAAAGAAATTCCACTTATTGCACACTATTAATGGATTCATAAAATATTAAACAATATGTTTTTAGCAAAACCAGCCAGTGTTTTAACGCCAGACTCGACCTACTGAGGTGTCCATTTGAACAATTTCTTCTATCTTTTGTTTTATGAGCACACGAAAGCTGTCCATCTGAAGACTCATCCTTAAAAAGGCTTTTGAGTTAATGGCATTATGTAACTGTGCACATCCAATTGCAGAGCGGTTATGTCATAAAGCTTTGAGTAATTACTTTTCATTTTGGATAAAACAGCACTATAATCCCTGAACATATCACAGCACCGCCGGTCAAGCATCAACCTCTAGCCTCGGGTTTTCCCACACTGGCAAAGAGTCGATGCTGATGTTTTTTAAACAGATTTGTCATTTTGATTGGTTCTGTCACCCCAAAAGATGTTATTGATTTGTTCTTTTTTTTTTGTAACCCATAGCATAGGTGTTAAAGTATTTATTGAAGCTGACTTCAGTCAAGATCTTTTGTTCGGGAATAAAGTGTTATTGAAGGATTTGTATTTAATTGGAATGAAGAGGCTGAACATAGTATGTTATAACATTTGCTTTTGGTTTTTAATGATGCACATCCTGTGTAAAGTCTCACTAGTATAATATGAGACTTCTATTAAAAAGCACAGTTGTTGGCTTCTTATTTTAATAGAACAGTGGGATGAAAACCCCTACTGCCAGGTGCAGAGAAGCTTGTTATAAACTTTCAGAGTACTACAAAGTTGACTTTTGTCATTAGCCAGGTACTGCTCGACAGGCCAAACATTATTAAATAGAAGCCACTCCACTTTCTGAACTGTTGTACCTTTTTAATGAAGTTTGAGAATGCACAGTTACAAAGAAGTGAACTATGTGTTGCCTCTGGTGCTTTGTGGAAAACATTCTAGTTGCTTTCACTCTGTTAGAAATATTCCTCTATTTTGTGTCACCTTTTCGTTAGTACATTTATGTTTTATCACTTTGACCTGACCTAATGTTACATTTGCTGCATCTGGGTGAAAGAAAATCCCTTTTTAGATGGACCGGTCAGCACTAGCATCACAAGTAGAAACTACAAATAGCACAATTTCCTTTCATTTCACACTTTTCAATTTACCACGTCCTAAGGCTCCAGTGGAGAGCATTCTCTGTGTGACATATTGGTAATATTTTGGTCACGTATTCTGCTTTAAAATGCTTGCTCTGCTGCTTAACTAATTTATTGCTTGGAGCTGATCTCAAATGGGCTTCTCTTCAAAAACTTTTGAAGTATTGAGTGATATTGAACATCTGGTATCCTTGAGGAATTCATAATGGAGCATACTGTTTGGTGCTAACTCCCTCTGCTCTGGTATTTTTGAACACTGAGGATCCTAATTTCTGTCCAGCAGTTCTGCCTCTCTGACATTTGTTTGATTCTGATTTGTGTTTGTTAATTTTGGACTCTCAGCAGTTGTTTTAATCCACTGTGTTGTGACTGAGGGCAAGGCAAAGAGAGGTCAAGCTGTCAGTCTTTTCATGAATCCACTCTGAGGATGTATTAGCATGCAACACACCGCCCTCTGATCGAGCTTGGTCAAGACTTCTGTGTCATGTAAAGCCTGCATGGCACAATCTATGATCTTTCTTTTCAAGCAGGAGCTACAGACGCCTGCATGGAGATTCCTGCGCGGTGTGCTCGAGTGTTGTTGCTGATCCCCGCTTCACATCCTTAATTAGTTTTTATGCAGGGGTAGAATCTGAATTAGCTAACATAATTTCTAACCACTTTTGTTCCACCTACTGATAGAAGATGTTAAGTGCCTCAACTTTTGAAGCCTAAAAATAGAAGCTGTAGCTATGGGACATATTATCTTGTGCATAATGAATTACAATGAGAAGTGTTGTAGGAATATCTCCTCCAACCTTTATCTCTTTTCGAAATCACGGTCAATTAAGGTTTTTTAGCTGCATGTGGACAGAAAAGTAACAGATTATCTTGACACCAAGTTCCAGGATTTGTTCTCCGATTAAATTGCTTGGAATGTTTTTATATTATAAAAGATTGCAAGATGTATCATTACACATCCATGTACAGCAAGACCAATACTCTTAGGGATACAGTATTAAAATGCATTTACCTAAAGGATACATTTGGTGGTAGTGCATATTATCTTTTGCCTCATTGTTAAATCACATAACAAAACCCATAAATGAATTGATCCTCCTATCCCCTGTGTACCAAAGCCTGATAGACCTTTCTATCAACATCTATTAGTTTGCCAAAAACGATACAAAAAACATACCCCCTTCCTTATTCTGCTGCCATAAATATTCCGGAGCCCACCACAGGTATATTATTCCACAGTGGAAAAACAGTCCCAAGAAAACAGTCCCCCTACTAACTTGAATAATGTATACTTAGATCTACAGTACTATTTTAAATATAAAACTATACATTTGGGAACTCTTTAAAATATGTATGTCTTTAGAAGGAACAAAAGGATTGTGCCTGAGACTAATGCATGGTTACATTTTCTCTTTAGTGTTCTTTGATGGTTTGACTAATATGAAAAAACTCATCCTTTTTCTCCACAGTTGGAAAGGAAGATGTCAATGCGACAGAGCAGAGATGAGTTGATCAAGAGAGGAGTGTGAAAGAGATCTTTGAAAAGGTGAGCGGATATTATACGGTTACAGTCTTATGCAACCGAGCTCC